GTTAAAGTTACCGGTAGAAACTTTTTAACATAGACTTGGTGGCAGGATTACCCCCAGAGAGATTGACCCCTGATACCAAAAATGCTACCTCAAATGAAAAAAAGCAGAACATAGTTCCCTAAGAATGGTGTAAAGATAATGTATGTTTTTTTTTGTGTTTACGTATATGTATAATTTTCCAAATTGTGGTAAACGCAAGAAATGTGGCCTACAGAACCGAAATGGGCCGAGTCATTTGAGGGTACTCACCCTCAGGTGTGGTTCCACCAATGGGGGGGGGGGGGGGGGGGGCGGGGGGCATGGAGCACCCAAACGTTTATCGAGACCCCCCCCCTAAAAAAAAAGAAATTCTGTACAAAAAGACGGTAGCAGATGTTAGAATTATTATTAATAAGGTGATGTTACATTCGAATGGTCTCTCTTCCCTCCTCCCCCCCCCTCCCCCCTAAAAAAAATAGTTGTGAGCAGGGACCATGAATTGTACACCATGCGCGGATCTAGAGGGGGGGTTTGGGGGTAAAAAACAACAAAAAAAGCCGTCAAAGAAAAAATCATACAAATTCCTACAAAATACTGGTATAATGTCCGCCTGTTCAAAATACGGTACACCAGTCTGTAATCTAGTGTTACTAATCGTCGAATTTGAACAGCGCCCCTATTGAAATATGAAACCAGCACCCCCCCCCCCCTAAAATTCCTGGATCCACCCCTGTACACTATTAGGTAATGTAGTGTGCACGATTGTAGGATTTTATCGGCACTCCCCTGGGCACTCCCCATTGAATATATGTACAAGAAAAGGAAGATACTTAAAGTTTTTAAGATATTTTAAATTTGGGTTCGATTATTCTTCTTGAGTACTTTCCATTAGCATATCTACTTGGAAACATTGGGATTCTGTAACCAAGAAATTAAGCGTGACACAATGAAATAAGCCAGAGGAAAAACATGGTCAATCTTTCACACAGAATAATTTGACTGAAACTACATGTACATGTATTTAATATAAAATTTGCCATTGAAAATACAATTTTATTAAAAGTTCAAAAAGTTCATTTCTAACATCATGTTGCCAGAAAACTAGAACATTTATAGAATAGAAAGTCTGATTCACTTTAATAATTTGCCATTGGAAATATAGTTTTTTGAAATATGAAAGAAGTGACTGTTAATTTTTAAACTAAGTCACAAAAATCCAAAATTTACAGCACAGTTTAATAACTATATGGTGTACATGTATTATAAATGACAAACACAACTACATGTACATTAAAGTAGGTGAATCATATCCACATCATCTACGTTCATACCAACATCCATGACAGAAAACCTTATCGTATTTGCATAAATAATCTCAACAAGGCAAATTTGCACTTCACTGTAACACACATTGTTTTGATGTTCAAATGTATTTCACTCTCCAAGGTTATACGAAATGACAAAAAACCCTTCTAAATTGTATATAAATTCTTTGGAAGATGTGGCAACTTAAAACAAAGGGAATACAAATTCATCTTGATGTTTTATAATTACACATTGCACTCAGATGAATACATGCCTTTCATGATTGCATGTGCTGTCCAAATCTGGTCTCAGATTATCATGATCATGACTAATCCTACACATGCGAGAGTCATTTGACCAACTATTCAAAATGTTCACATTTGATGTTTCCCATTTACCACCAGAAGCAATGAAATACACTTCTTGTATAATCCTAATGACTGCAACTTTCTTAAAAGGTACATATGATTATTTGCTTCTTGTGCCTTTACTTTCGTTTGAAGCAACAAAATTGCTAAAAGTCTGAAGCAGGGTGCATGACAACTAACCTGTTGAAGGCTGATTGGATAGTATACGATTTAAGAAAACCGAGGAAATACATTCACTTTTTTGGGGTGTCTTGTAACTGGATTCCATTGCTTATGCATAATGTGCCGTGGACACCCTCTTTCAACACCACCTCAGTTTTCATCCACACGAAACAATTTCAGCTAGAATATTTTCAAAGGGTATTTGGTACCACTCCTATCTTGACTTTGAGCAGAGTTTTTGTCATTAAATCAATGCTTCTCCAGGTCATTGCAAATGATGCACATGGCTTTGAGTTAACAGTGTTTCAATTTTATCTGTGAATGTACATTGGTGCAGTAAAATCATACTTTCAGGTACTGTAGTCCAAAAATTTTCACACAAAATTTGAGCCCTGCTAACGAACTCATTGCACACAGTAAGATGTGACAATAGCTTGTAGATTGACAACTAGTCTCTGTGGTTTCAGTAAAATATATAAAAAACATGTTTACATAATAAAAAATGTATATTGCATTATTAATTAAGAGCACAAAATTGCATCATGACAAGTTCCAATTTAAGAGTACTGATTTCAACAATGAATTAATCATTATTTTTTTTTTTAAATATAACACTGTCTCGTTATTTTGTTCCAATTGTTATATTATGATAATGCAATATATTTCATAATGCACTAATAGTCGGTTTCCCTTTTTGGTTTATTGGAACATTTGTTTGTTTATTTGAACAATCCTTTGTACTGATCCAGTGTAACCGGCACAAATTTGGACACCATGTATTGGTTCAGTTGAGCTTGCCATTTGGGGTCGAGATGCATGTTGAGAAGATGCCTGGTGATAGATGTCTTGAGATCCTATGAGGAAAAAATGACTAAAGAATATTCAAAATGAGACAAGCAAAATGGTGGTTAATCTAAACGCAGACTCAAAACGGCAGGTTCTTGCAGGCCGTTTAAAGTCTGATACTGGCAAGCGTGTAGATTGTCAGATCGACCTATGATGCAGGGTTCAACAATATTTAAATATCTAAAAGCGTACTAAATATCAGAATCATGAGGCCCTTGTATGTCCTCATGTACACGTGTCAGGTCAGATCTTCTGTTTAACGGTGGTCTGACTGTCTGAAGTACTTTCCTCTTCCACACAACAAATATCTTTACGCAAAGTATGTAAATGTGTATCACTAATTTTATTCAGTATTCATAAGATTGAATTTTGCGTTGAGGTGATGTAAATTAAATTAGGTTTTGCCCCTCACCGAAGTATAAACGGTTGGTATAAACGGTCAGTGTGTTACCTCCCGAGTGAAAGTTGGAACAAAATCACTCGGGTGGGACTCGAACCCAAGACCTCCTACTTTCTAGTGCAGATGTCTTACCACTCAACCACTGAGCTACGGGAATCAGTTGGCTGGTTCGAATCTGATGTACATAGCAGCAGGTATAGCATTAACTGTTCATAAGATGGAATTTTAAGTTGGGGTTATGTAAATCAATTTAGGTTTTGCCCCTCGCCAACATTTTTTTTCCAACTTTCACTCAGGAGGTAACACACTCATACTGTGTTTATACATGTAGTTCGGGGAGGGCAAAACCTAATTTGATTAGAGTTTTATTCAGCATGCCGAGTCCTGTGTTCAAAAGGTTCCTGTGTTTGACTCATGCACGATGTTATGTTGAGTCAATCTTGACAGGGGACACGGTGCTAGTGTTCTTGGGCAAGATACATTACTACAACTGCCTCCATTGAGTACATGTGGGGGGGGGGTGCAGACCACATAGGGCTGATCTCGAGCTTATAGCAGGAAAGTGTTCTCATGGCCTGATGAACAGGGGTAATAAGTGTGAGCAATCTGAGAGTGTTGTATAAGAGTGCTATATGAACACTGCACTATGATCATCAAATATCTTAACATCAGCACAAGGTGTTGGGCGACAGTGCGTTCAAGAGTTCCACCTAAACCTTTTCTTAAGAGGTATTACTGGGCAGTGTTGTAGGACTCGAGTCTAGGACTCGGACTTGAGTTGGACTCTAGTCACATTGGAAAATGACTCGGACTTGACCATGACTCCTCGAACTCGATGACTCGCGACTCGAGTCACATAATTTCAACAAAAGTAAAAACCTAACGTAGGGATGGGAAAGGATCATTGAGGAATACTGTTTGGATGATCAAACATGGAGGGAAGGGTTGGAGGAAGATTTTTTAGGGATGGGAATTAAAAAGAAAACACATTTTGGCTCTAAACAACATGTATCACACAACTATATACACGGGATTTACTTAAAAGGCAGAATAAAGGATTAAAAAATAATTTTAAAAAACGATTAGTTCGGTGAACAACTAAGAACAAGTGACTTGTGACTCGGACTCGGAATCGAGGCTTGTGACTCGAGACTTGGACTCGGACTCGACGTTGGTAACTCGACTACAACACTGGTACTTGGTCACAGAGTCCACTGTACCTACCAGGTAATTCTGAGTTGACCACCCCAGGGTAGACAGGCAAAGGCCCCCAAGAGGTGACGACATGAAGCTTGTCCCTCAGCTCAGGATGGCCCTTCATCTGTAAGGCCAGGGTGTTGGAGTTGATGCCTGTACCGTCTGCTGTCTTATTAAGGATCATCTGGATGGACTTCAGATGGGAACCTGGGCAGGAAAAAAAACATTTATGAGATGTAAATTAACCTTTTTTATATTTGATTTTTGTTTGCCCTTCGCTGACATATTTTGTAAACACTGTGCACTTAGTGTTGTCCGAAGGCTTAGGTGGGACTCAAACTAATGACCTCCTACACAAACAAAGTTGGGTTAAGCGCTGCTTCATCAGACTCCAAACGGCCAGCTTGCCACAGCAAGCTCAGTGGTCGAGTGGTTAATGTGTCTGCACTAGGAAGCAGAAGGTTGGGGGTTTGTGTCCAACCAGAAGTAAGCTTGTTGATTTTTTTCTTGCAAACCCTCGGAAAAAACTCAATGTTTACAGTGTTTGTAAAATACTTCAGGGAAGGGCAACAAAACAAATACATATATGAAAAAGAAGATCAAATATTATATGGATGAAATCGAATACAGTTGATTCCTACTTTCTAATTCACAATTTCGAATTTCACAACTATGATCTATCCATATAGATTTGAGATGCAGACCAATGCAAATGAGACTTCACAGATGTTTGTCTTACCTGACTGGATAATTTTACCGAAGAAACTGGCCTTGTTCTCTCCTATCTTTTCGAGTCCTCGATGGGTAATCCCAAATCCGCTCAGTGAATGGACGTAGTTGTAGGCCCAAACAGATCCAGGTAGGTCCTCAAACATTTGATATCTATCATTGAAATATCATCAATACAATTATGATTAGCATTGAAATATTTACATAGAATCAGGGGGGGGGGGGGGGGGGGGGGGAGGGATGTCAGGGGAAGAAAAGGGGTTGGGGATTATATTCCCCCCCCCCAAACAAAAATGGACAAACACACTTTCCCCTTCCCAATTGTCACATTTATGGAAGACAGTGTTCTAGTGAAGGTTTGCAGTTTGCAGTAACACCATGTAGGCATGTAGAGTCTCTTTTGGGAAGATGTGTGGATCTGAAAAGAACCACACATCTTCCCAAAAGAGACTTCTACATGGTGGCATCGCAAACCTTTACTAAACCATGCCACTACGTAGTTAAACCAAGTAGTTAGCTCTTGCAAATTGTCTTGCAAAGATGTTCCATCAACACAACTGAGAATATGACAACATCAACTTGATCGTCAGGCAAGGCAGAGACTGATTGCGAATGACAACCCCAGAAAGTGAAGAAGAAACTCTGATCAGATGACAACCAACATTTGCCCAGGAAAGAAAAAAAAGGCAACTGATGAACAGAAATCAAATTGTGATTTGTGAATAAAAACTTCCATTTGACATCATTCCTTATCAGATCAAATTGAATATCAAACAGAAGGGAAGTACAGAATTGTTGTATGGGTAAATAAATCAACATCCAGGGGAAGAACACAATTCATTTTGGGGAAAAAAATAACAAGGATTGATAGAAAAGAAAATCTCCTCTTTTTTTGCTGTTGTTTACATCTACATATACCTTTGTACAAAGTAATATTAGTGCTTAAAGATGATTTGAGTGAATGTTACTTTCCGTCTTCAGTAACATGACCAAATTGAAACCAACTACATGTACCAACTACCTGCTCCTCCTTCCAATCACATCCATATACTGTCACTATCCCCAAAGGCATTTTCAGGATGTATTCATCAAGTTTATTCCCACGTGACCGGTTGAACCAACTACAGGATGAGTCAAAAAGAAAGTGACCGAATTTGAAAAAAATGTTTAAAATATTTGGCTCGTTCTATCTTAATAAAAAAAAGAAGATAAAGTACATCTAATCAGACTTGTATGACTCGTGACTCGGACTCGAGTCCGACTCGAGTCACATTTTTAATGACTCGGACTGGGACTCGAGTCACTTTGACTTACGACTCGGACTCAGACTCTGGGCTACGGACTCGGACTTGGACTTGAACTGACTTGTGACTCGACGGAAATTACCGCACTGCACACACGCACATACCGGTATATAATTCGATCGTTTTCTTTACTGTGCAATACATGTACAGGGCGCTCGATGTGGTGCGTGCGTGGCCGTGGCCGGTTACCGATATACAATGTACATGTATTGACTTATAGAAATCAATGTACTGAAACTTGTACCCTGCCATCAACACGCAATACTGCATTGGTGCAAGATTGATAGGATAAGGTACCAGACTTTTCTTGTCAGACGTCCTGTCGTTCACACGCATATTGCTGTCGCATCGCGATAACGCGATATGAATAGTCTGCTGATCTGCCCGTTTCGGTAACGTTACATGAAGGTCCGTCTACATGAAGGTCCGTCTAGCAATGAAGGTCAGCAAACAGACGATAGCTCCGCAAAACTTCAGCATCACCATCAGAGACATCTGTTACCCTCTACATGTACGTAGTAGCTCAAACATCCACAGACCTCCAATTGCCTTCCTCCTCCAATGTCTTCTAAGGATGTGACGTTTCATTTTGTAAATGTTTAGCAAACATTTAAAGAACCATCTCAATGTTGAGCCCTTTCACAAAGACTGACGACTGCCCATTGTGCAGACCAACATGATCGACACAACAAATAATAAATGAGTAACATAATAAAAAGAGGGCTGTCATTGAAAACAATAAAAAGATGAGCACGTAGCCTGAAAGTAATCTAGTACTGCAGTTCTCCTTAGCTTTTAGCAAATTGAATAGGTTTGGATTATTTTTGTTATGCATGCTCAACTCAAAGGAAGATAGCGGAAAATAGGTTCCTGTTTTTAAAATTTGAGTTTTGTTAAAACTTTTGGAAAAATACGATTTAGAATTTTGTTTATTATTTTAAATGTTTAAATGTGTAAATGTCACATCCACAATTTCCTCACTCCACCAATACATAGTTCCCCTTTTGCCTGTGGATTTCAGTTTAATGTTTACACTCAGCCTGCAGAGGACAAAAATACTTTTTGATATCAGATTTTATATATTTATTGAATTTGTTAAAAGCACAAGTAAATTAATGTGCACAGTTTAACTAGCTAAATTAAATTTATGATATACATCTTTTTTCAAAGTGGATTTTTGTTAATTTTCACCTACTGCTTCTAATTGTTTCAGCTTCTTTTCAAAAAATTCAATGTACCCACTGACACCCTATAGTGAACAAAGTTAAACAGTACAACTGCCAATGCATCAACCTTACGCTAGAATCATTCGTGGGTTTATCTCTATCCTAAATGCTGGAGATGTTTATCGTGAATTTCTTCCTGCATGTACACTCCCAGCAAGTTCTTATTAAAAAGGGGCCTATGGGTCATTCTTCAGTATCAAGTGTCTACTTTCATGTCCCGACACTTTAAGGCACTATAAATCGAAAAATATAGAATGAAAATTAGATTTTTGAGCAGTGAAATTAACTTCAACACGACTCCTATTATGTGCAGTGTTAAAAACTCTTTAACATAATGGACAAGATGCTCATTCTTTACAATACTCCCTCAAAACCCCCTCAAAATGCATGTCCCCGTGTATTTCTCAATATGTACCTACTGCCATAATTTGTAAAGTAAACAACTTGAAAAGGTAATTATACCTCCAAAAGCCAAGTACTATAATAATTGTCATTTCCGTCACAAAAGGTGTGACAGATATGACTTTTGCATTCTTTTCACAATCAATATTTCTTTGGGCCCTATTGAAAATAAAGGAACCCAGCATTATTTCCTGTAGAAAACTACTTCACATCACCACTTCAATACAATAGAGACTTAAATAACAGAGAGAGAGATATGTTGCAAGGATGAATGAAGTCCCTGAAAGCCATCAGCCCTGTTTTTGGTACATAATAATTGTCAATTATCAGATTGATCTTCGATCAGGCCAATCAAATATGTTGAACACTTTCAAGTGCTTCAACATAGGGGGGGGGATGCACATATTGTGACGTACGTGAGTAACCACTAGCTTAATTGTCACTTCCTAACATGCTCAAAATCCAAAATGTTTAAATAGGATTATGTGAAAATCTTAGATCTGCGGTTTATGCAACAGGATTGGCACAATTGCGAATCCCACGCTTTGTGAATGCAAATCGCCATGATCGCAACCTTGGTATAGGCCTATGATTCTTTCCCTGCTAAATACTCACGACCGGACCATGAACGTCTTGCAGTTTTTCAGGTTTTTAAGAAAATCGAGTTGACGACGGACACACTGAAACCACCTCACAAGTAGAGATACAACACGTTCCTCGACAACGAATCTGGAGAAAGTTGCATGACCCAACATGGCAACGACATCATAGGGCAAGGGACACACCAACTTTTGCGAGACGGGCATTGTTACATTTTTGTAACACGCAGACAACAAACCACCACGTGTGAATATTATCCACCATTTTGCACCTGTCAGTATCACAAAACACCACCACCTGTGCGCGCCATCACGTGGGCATACGTCATACCAAGCGCATACCTTGGGATTTTTGTCAATTTTTGTACATATTGGTAACGGTATTGTTCTGCATTGAAAACATCGATTGTCAACAGATCTAATGTTACAGTTGTTATGCTTGCATTAGACTGTTTAATTAGTTGTTAAAATGATTACGTAGACAGTTATGACTCTAAGGCGAAGCTTAATCCGAAATTTCAGAAACGTCACTGTCAAAAAATTTGTTTAGAGGGCGCTGTACCGGCGGCAGATCCAAGAATCAAGATGACGTCCCTTGTCACCGATGTTCTGCTCGCAAACACGGGTAAAACTCAGCTGTTTTCCAATAATACTAACCTTTCAGACAAAGGTTCTCTCAAAAAAGTTCCAGAGATTATTGTAGGAAAAATAAAAAACTTAGTGCATTTAATTCCTATGTAGGCCGAGTATTTGAAACGCTTTTTGGTTGGTAAGTATTCGATCTTTATCGTTGCATCGGTTGCGTGATACAACGTATGAGAACGGGTGTCGGTCACTAAGCTTCGCCCGGTAATCCTTACTAGTATTATGACTACTCCAAGAACTATGAGGCTCTCCAGTGAGCCTCATAGACACAGAACCCCGCAAAATTGTTGTCAGCACAAAACACTAATTAAGTACAAAAACGTCCATCCCAACCAAGCTTTTTCCCACAGAACCGCTGCACAGTTTGCCCCTAAACTCCGTACAATACCTCATGACAATACCTCATGACATACTCACGTTATGTGCACCCAACAAACATCGGTGGATTCTGTCTGTTTTCGGCAAAAATGATGAAAAATATGCCCTTTCCGCACTGAGCCAACCTAACACTTGAAACGAGCACGCGCCCTGAATGATCGCAGTCATTTTCGGTTCGATCGCTCGGAGCGCGCCGCGGGGGTATGGTGTAGGAGCGGAACGATAGTATGCGCATGCATACAAGTGCAAGTATGTACCCCCCGCGGCGGGCTCCTAGCGATTGAACCCGAAAATGACTGCGATCATTCTGCGCGCGTGCTCGTTTCAAGTGTTAGGTTGGCTCAGTGTAGTCCGAGTAACTTGGACCCAACTTATCGCCTTTTTAAAAATTTGGACATGGTCTGGCGATAGTAGGGTCCAAGCTCATTCCTCGACCTAGACAACACAGTCACTGACAGTCCCAAAAACCAACATTTTCCAACAAAAAACATCAGATTTCACCTTCAAAACGGCCTCCAAATTACTAGATATGTCACCTGAGGTACAAGTAGACATAGATGATTAAGATGGTTGTACTTAAGTTTACTTACGATCCGGAAAAAAGTGAAATTTTCCGTTCAATTCTGGAGACCCCCTCTGCCTAGGTTGTCGTTGTTGTGCTCACGTTCAAAACTGCATGATAATGGCGTCTGACCTCGACCTCATGCAAATGTGGTGCGGCGCGCTTGCGCATAATGCACTGCATGCATACCCGGCAGATTCCCCTGCGCCGCGCCGACGACTGTTTCCTGATGTAGAGCGCTGTGTAAGTTCGCGGTACGCCTGGCTAGCCAGCGCGACTCCCAGGCGTACCACGAACTTACACAGCGCTCTACATCAGGAAACAGTCGTCGGCGCGGCGCAGGGGAATCTGCCGTGTTAGCCCCACTAGTGTGGCCGTCGGTATGCTGCGCTTGGGTTCAGCGCAGCATACCGACGGCCACACTAGTGGGGCTACTGCCGTGTATGCATGCAGTGCATTATGCGCAAGCGCGCCGCACCACATTTGCATGAGGTCGAGGTCAGACGCCATTATCATGCAGTTTTGAACGTGAGCACAACAACGACAACCTAGGCAGAGGGGGTCTCCAGAATTGAACGGAAAATTTCACTTTTTTCCGGATCGTAAGTAAACTTAAGTACAACCATCTTAATCATCTATGTCTACTTGTACCTCAGGTGACATATCTAGTAATTTGGAGGCCGTTTTGAAGGTGAAATCTGATGTTTTTTGTTGGAAAATGTTGGTTTTTGGGACTGTCAGTGACTGTGTTGTCTAGGTCGAGGAATGAGCTTGGACCCTACTATCGCCAGACCATGTCCAAATTTTTAAAAAGGCGATAAGTTGGGTCCAAGTTACTCGGACTAGGCTCAGTGCAGAAAGGGCATATTTTTCATCATTTTTGCTGAAAACAGACAGAATCCATCGATGTTTGTTGGGTGCACATAATGTGAGTATGTCATGAGGTATTGTACGGAGTTTAGGGGCAAACTGTGCAGCGGTTCTGTGGGAAAAAGCTTGGTTGGGATGGACGTTTTTGTACTTAATTAGTGTTTTGTGCTGACAACAATTTTGCGGGGTTCTGACTCTATGAGGCTCCACTACGTGGAGCCTCATAGTTCTAGGAGTATATTATGACCCTGTTCCTACGTAAGGAGGGAAAGACTCACCAAAACAGTTGACTAAATCATGACACTCAAAATTGACATTCTGATATTTCTTGACCCATCTGAACAATTGGCATTGAATGACCAATGACATACTTAGTCCGAGTAACTTGGACCAAACTTATCGCCTTTTTAACATTCGGACATGGTCTGGTGATAGTAAGGTCCAAGCTAATAGTGCGAGCTGGACAACATCATCCTGTCACTGTCCCAGAAACCAACATTTTCCAACAAAAAAACATCAGATTTCACCCGCAAAACGGCCTCCAAATTACTAGATATGCCACCTGAGGTACAAGTAGACATCAATGATTTAGATGGTTGTACTGAAGTTTACTTACGAACCGAAAGAAAAGTGAAATTTCTCGTTCAATTCTGAGAGCTCCCCTCGCGATCTTGAACACGTTAAATTTCTGACTCGTGTTAATGTTTGAGCGACGCGATTTTTTCTTCATGCCCAGCGTACATTCGATGGTCCCCGTATCCCGAGTGCGATTCCGATACCGAGCGCGTGCGATGCATCGATTATGATAATTATCACGTTTGTAAACACAAACTTGCATTTCAACTGTAAAAGGATATCAGGAACCAGCTTGAACTGGTATCCGCCATAAAAGCTGCGCTAGAGTTCACGACTCCCTATTATCGTTCGAAATGCACATGTGTTTACAAACCTGATCCAGCCTACTCATTATCATAATCGATGCATCGCGCGCGCTCGGTAACAGAATCGCACTTGGGATACGGGGACCATCGAATGTACGCTGGGCATGAAGAAGAAATCGTGTCGTTCAAACATTAACAACACGAGTCGGAAATTTAACGTGTTCAAGATCGCGAGGGGAGCTCTCAGAATTGAACGGGAAATTTCAAAGATATAAATTGTCTCTACAGTGTCTCTCTACAATTGTCTCTACCTTTTCAAATATATAAAAAAAACCCAATAATTATGGACAAAAAACGTACAAAATGAAAAGGAAAAAACATTGTTCGCCTTTGAGTTTGGTTCACACATTTGGACAATTTGCCGGGTTTACCTTAGATCAGCCGTAGTTCCATCGGAAAGGATGATAGATTATTTTCATTTTACATGTGATTTAATGTAAGAGGAAACCTGTAGCTTATAAAAATCGTCATTTTTCGAGTAAACCCATTTTGAAAGCTTCGTGCCCTCTATGATTGTACTTAACTGCATTTCTGGGCCGGGAACCAGTCAGTTGTAAATCGTTTCAGTTAAATGTATACATTTCCAACGCGTCGAAAGATTACAAATGGAGCGCCGCAGCACGTGGCGCGTGGCTAGCCATGTTAACGGGCCAAATTCCAGGGTCTGTGTACAGGTACGTGCACACTAACGTTACATTCAACAACAAAAACGTATAACGTGAGACCTTACTTTTCTCATTGAAACGGTTTCCGACTTAAATGATATTTAAACTTTCCGTGGCATTCTTGACCATTTTCAGTGAAGACAAGTTTACAATTACTCGGCAAAACTGCAAAAATTATCCCCTAAACTGTCGCCTGTTTTGAATTTGTGACCCAATACTTTCCTACTACACGACACGGAAAAACAAAAAAAATGCAACAAATACTCTCTGTTTTTTAGCGCTAAGGTTTGCAAAAGTGACTTTGATTGCCTTAAATTCCTGTCTACGTGGAAAGAAAAATTTATTTAAGTACTTTGAGCGTGATGTTGACCGATACTTCAGTGGCTCAAACTGCCACTGCAGGCATCCATGTTTGCTGATTATCAGTATTTCATATTTTGAGTGCACATGCGCGCAAACTAAATGAGCGGCTGAAACATACGTGCCTTATTAACCGTTACAAATCCACAAGCTTATTGATTGGGTTTTTATATCCTAGAGTTTAAAAGTGCTACAGGCAAAACTTCATTCGAAAGTTGGTCCTGCTATTTGGGTTTTGGTGTTTTTTACTCACCCAATATTTTGTAATTCTTTGCCCAGATCTGTTGGAAAAGGAAGACCTTGGGACGCGCATCGGCAAATTATCAACTCACATTGATGAGATCAAGGGTGAAATCTACCACGCCGTACACGAGAAGTATGCTAACTACAGACCCACCAGGGACTCCACCCAGGAGCTACACAACAAGGTGCAGACACTGTCCACTGAGATGCAGACTCTCAGCAATAAGATCAAGGTATGTCATAGTCTTAAGGCCCTAGTAACACATTCACGGTTGGACCTACGAATATCCACCGTTTACCAAGAATCAATTGATCACTATGAACCGTCAAGACTCATGGAGAAATTGACTTTCTAAGAATGCACTAGGGTTTCAGGACGGATAGCCACAACTTTCGGAGGTTTCTCTAGGAATACACCACGGTTTCTTGAATGGATTGTTTACGAATATTGACAGTATTACCAAGAATAATGATGTTAATGCCACAGTTGTCTGCGATTGGGCCACGGATGACCAAGGTTCTCCTACAAATAAAGCATAGTCATATTCGTAGTACAACCTTAGCAGAATTCAAGCATATCTGGGCATAACCGTAGGACATCTGTAGTGAATTCGTAGAGAATAGATTTCCACCACGAATGAGCTACAAATCTCCAAGAGTATGTACAAATAGCTACAAATAACACTACGAATTAGTACAGTTGTTCTATGGATGTCCCCGGGTTTCACTGCGCATTGATTTTCATGACGATTCACCAAGGACGTTTGGAACAGTTTAAAAGTTCTGTAGCGCCTCCACGAATACCAAAGGAAGATGAGGGATAACCACGCAGATATTTAGGATGAATACAGTACTCCCACGGTTATCACAATTCTCAACTGTGGATAGCTGTAGCTCCAAACAGTGAATGTATGACTGAGGCTTAACGGCTAGACATTGTTACGGTTTGATATGCGACAACCTGCTGCAGTGATAAACCCACACCCACTGACCAACCAATATCACCCACGAACCCGTCGGAACAACGTATAGGCCAATTCCTACTGGTTGTGTAATGTGCGCGCACCTTTGGCCTAATATATGCAGCGCGCATTCAAAAACAATTCACAGTAGTTCCCAAGGAAACTTTCAAATTTCTTCAAGTAACGTAAAAGATGCAGCAAGACGTTTGTGCAACTTCACTGGTCAGCACTTTTGTTGTGTGTAGTTTGTGTGGGACTGAAAATGAACAGTAATTGCCTGCGGAAGTAGCGCATGCGCACTTCCCCCATTTTTTTTTGGGGGGGGGGGGGAGAGATTTTATGAGTTGGCCTAGACGTTCCGATGGTGGGGGATATTGGTTGGTTTTGATAGCCACCTCTTGCGACGGCGGGTCATCGCTGCAGCATGTAATTGTGTATCCGACCATAACATCGTCTAGCCCCTAGACTAGGTACATGTATGTGAGGCTGTGTCTGATGAGACAGGCATTGTTGTCTGTGGCAATAGCTTTTGACTTAATGCACTATCAGGGTTCGACCTTAGCGGTGGTCCGCTGGCCAAATGCCAGTTGAATTGCCGGCGGACCAGCTGAAACACCTTGCCAAGTGGTCCGGCTGGCCAGCTGAAAAAATCTGTGTCAAAAAAATGCTTGTTGTATTTATTTGGTTTCTTACTTACATGTATATGTACATTCGCTATTTTTTCAAAAGAAACCTCCGTTATTTTTACAAATTTGCTTCGCGATATGACTACTTCGCAATTCGATGTCACGGTGACTATAATCATGTGCGTTATCCGGTAACCCGTAATCCAGCCCAATGCAGCGATGACTGGTTCCCGCCGCGCCAATTTAGAAGACATCATGATGAAAATGCGGTAACTAGTCTGTGCACGGCTATGCAATCGATAGCACTAGAGCATTGCTGTTATGCATCGTGCAGGCGCCAGGCACGTGCTCTGTCAACTGGTCGGATTCGACATCGTAAAAATGCCAAGAAAACACCAATGGAGAAAGAACATTTTTGCAAGTTAATTTTATACAGAATTGATCTAGCTTGTCTGTGTATTTTCTGTGTTCAAGAGTTCATTTTGAGAACGAACTACTCGTATTTGGAGTGATACATGCCGTGTGTTTCCCGAAATTTTTGACCGTGAAAACGGGTCTGTCGGCCCATGGTGGGCCGCTTGCCACACACGCACGCATCACACACCTCGGAGTTTTGGCCAGCTCCCCACGTCTTGACTAGCGTTGTGCATATGGTGCGAACAACCTGAATTTTCCATTAATTTTTGGGTAATTCTTATTTTTAGGACACCTTTCCTATATAAGGTTAAAAGACTCACCAAAACAGCTGACTAAATGACACTCAAAAGTGACATTCTGGTATTTCTTGGCACATTTGAACAGTTGGCAATGACACCTCTTGAATATCAGCAGGTTTGATTTGTAGAAAGAGGGCAGGGTTTTGATTTATGAGGGGACGATGACAAACAGAAAATAGATTTAAAAGCAAGATGGCAAACTGCCAAAAAAGGTAGGAAATTCACTTTTTCCTTGAAAGTGCTTTCAAAATTATAACTAACATGAGTTTGTCTGAAGAAAAAAGACTTCTTTAGCCTGCAAAAGTCACTTTGGTACTGGACAGTCATCTGCAAAAGTCAGTTTTGAACAGAACTCGTACAAAATAGAGGTGTCCTAAATGTAAGGATTACCATTTTTTTGAAATTATCGAACGTAAATATATTGACAATAATTACAGGTAGGTTTTATTCACTTTTTGTCGCTATTTCGTGTATAGCTTTCGTAGTGCAATGAAAATAGTTCAGGCTAATACTTCGCATATAAAAAATTGAATACCCCATTCACTCTGCATAAAAAAAAATTGGCAAAAAAAGAATTTCCGACCGACCGACCCTGTTTTTGAAAGGCATGTAATCGGAAGCAGAACTATTTTTTTGGCCTAATTAAGGTAGGTTTTATTCACTTTTTGTGGCCATCATTTTGTGTTTAGCTTTCGTAGTCAAGGGCGGATCCAGGGGGGGGGGGCCAAAGGGGGCTATGCCCCCCCCCCCAAAAACGAAACCAATTTTTAAATTTTTTTTTTATGTGACATCGCAGTAAAGGCAGGCAATGAGTACACCACCATCTTTTCCATTGGTTAAAGTGGTCAGAAATTGCCTCAGATCGCACCACAGAGCATCTAGAATCCAAAATGTTTTTGGGGCCCTTAAGCGGGCCCCGAACCCCACGCCGTAATTTTTTTGACCCAATTTTTTTTGGCCCCCCCCCCCCAAAATGTGTTCTGGATCCGCCCTTGTTCGTAGTACAATGAAAATAAATCGGGCTAAAACTTTGCCTACTGAGGCCTAATTGAATACCCCTTTCAAGCTGCATAAAAATATTGGCCAAAAAAACCCCCAAAAATCAGACCTACCAACCCTATTTTTAAAAGGCATGTAATCTGAGGCAGAACTTTATATTTTTTTTGCGGCCTCAGATCATGGAGGAAGAAAATAGACCTCTATTGCTCAGGTGACATGGGTGTTGACTATAGTCTAGTTTAATAAGACTGATGTGAAACTGATTAACTGGTGGGTACACGCTGTATAAGACGGACCAGTCAAAAACCTGGCGGACCAGTCAAAATGCTGGCCAACTGGTCAGGCTGGCCAGTCAAAAAAAAAGTTAAGGGCAACCCCTGTAAAGATAGTAAGGGAACTAAACTCCCTGTGAAATTATCCTTTCTGGCAAGCTCTCAATTCCAAGAAATCAACGAAACTCATTTCCAATGGTGCGTCTTAAGAAGCACCATAGGAAAATTTAAATTAGTAGTTCGTTTTGTTATTCAGCGCAGTGCGCACAAGCATTGGAACGACGCACAGGCGCGCGCGGTTGCTATAATTTTTCGGATCAGTGCGCGACATCGCGTAAAGCTGCAATTCAAAACAATTCGAACATGATTTAGCAACTTTTGATTTGAAATTGAGATCCTAGAATGCTGTTTTTCTCGGAATATAAAGCTGAAGCTGAGCTGAAACTTCATCAAGTAAGTTGTTCAGTATCCTTCATTAGATTTTGAACACATTTATTGCTTCAAACGAACGAAATGCACTTATCACAAATGATGGACTATAGTTTTAAAGGACAGGCCTTCAAAGTGATTCTGATGAACCTTTTTAATGTTTAAACTGAGAGTTTATTGCTGGAGATGTTTGAAGACAATTGTGACAACGATTCTTGAAATCACATATTTTTGAGGAGACAGGTTTTTAGGGTCATTGTGTTTAAATGGTGATATTTTCTGAATGGATTGACCACTTTACTTATCCATTTTTTCATCTTAAAGTACCTTAAGATGTTTGCTTTCCCTTCATTATTTTTGATGCTACATATTTTTTAAATATGAAATATAATTTTTGGGATTTTGGTTCCATTTTTTTTTTAACTCACCCTGTATCAATCTTGAAGTATCGTGTATAATCACACACCTGAGACTACCGGCTTTTCTCAATTTGTGTTTTCATTTCCCGGACGAGCCCCCATTTGTCACATTCCCTGGTTTGCTCCTCCCCAAGAAATATAACCCTCAGTAGTCTGGTACACCGTCACACAAAATAAATTGTCGAGTGAATTGACAATTTATTTTGTGTGACAATTTATTTTGTGTGACGGGTGTACCAGACTTCTGAGGGTCATATTTCTTGGGGAGGGGCAAACCAGGGAATGTGACACTGACAGTTGGTTGCAATCTGTTCTGGGCCTGCACATTACTGATGACACAGGAAGTATTGACAATTCCCTACGTTAAAGTAAAATACTTCTCTATTCTTGATAATATGCTGTGAATGTTTCTCGTTACCAGTAAGGTGTTTCACAGTAATATGCACCAATCACAAGATGGAATTTTTGCAGATGAAAATTAGGTTTCGCCCTTCTCCGACGTGTATACACTGTTTACTCAGTGTGTTAAGGGCCTGTCACATTATATGCGATCTCATAGGAGACCTTACGGCGACCAAAAATATTTCATAAATTTAACAATCGCAATGACAATTTTCTGTATCAAAGAAGCTCAAGCTACGCTCATACTGTGCTCTCCCCACGCTTACGATGCGCTCAACTCGTCTATGCGCCCCTGTCAAGCTCAATTACTCTATCTAGTCGCTGCCGCTGCGCTGTCACTGCGCTCACACTATGCTCTGCTCACTGTTGATACGTCCTTGTAGCTCACGTCGCGCTCTCTATTCGACCAAAATACGCTCATGGGACGTCACTTGCGCTGTATAAATACCACGACAAAATGGTCAATACACAGTCCAGTTTCAAAATTATTCTACAAGTTCATCGCAGTCGAGTTAGTTTCTCATGGAGACTACATCAACTGTCTTGCGCCTAGGCTGCCTCAATGCCACTTCAATGTCGCACAATTCACGCTCCCACAGCCCCTCGAGTTGCGTCATTGTGGCGCCTTGGCCAGAGCGCAGAGGTGTTGCGATTGTTTTGGGCATGTTCAAAGATCTTGGCGCTCATCGGAGACCATTAAGACCCTCCGGTGCCCATCTGGCGACCTATGTAGTTGTCGCTGCGATCTAGTAGTTGTTTTTGCACCCCAGCTATTTTTCAAGGACGCAGTAAGAGCGCACATAAGATCGGAGACAGTGTGACAGGGGTTTTACCTCCCGAGAGAAAGTTGCCTCATACACGAATATCAATGCATTGTGTACCGCGTGTGCAAGCACTGAGAAAAAGGAACATTGTTCTTGACAGCTTTCCAGTGACTGCTGACTCTCTGTGTGTTGTGCATGCCCTTGGCTTGGTGGCTTGCTGCTGCATGGCCTGGCAGCATGGTGCTCTTGGTCATTTTCTGCCTGCATGTGGAATCACATGAAGCTCAATCTGCTTCCCTGGCTGCAATGGTTGGCTGGGATTTCGTCATGGGAAGCAACGACAGCACATGTCTTACCACTCGACCACCGAGCTAACGGGATTGGATGGCTGGTTCGAACGGAAAATTCCATCTTATAATAGTTTATGCAGTACCCGCCGCTATGTACATCAGATTCGAACCGGCCACCCGATCCCGTTAGCTCGGTGGTCGAGTGGTAAGACATCTGCACTAGAAAGCAGGAGGTCGTGGGTTTGAGTCCCACCCGAGTGATTTTTTCCAACTTTCACTCGAGAGGTAATACACTGAGTATACAGTTTTTAAAAACGTTGGTGCAGGGCAAAACTTAATTTGATTAATATCACCCCGACGCAAAAAATTCCATCTTATAACGACAGCACAGTTTGAGGAATGAGAAAGCCTTGACTACAGCTGCACGATAGTCAGCGTTAGTCAGCACTGTAGACGAGGGAATTAATTGAGCTATTGATAAGTCTGAAGATTTTCTGCAAGTTCTAGATATTCAATAGCTTGGGCAGGCAAAGTATAAGTTGTTCCCAGAGTATAAATAATTGCAGCTGAAACGTTCAGTGAGTTCAGAATGATAAAAAATGGCAGTATTGATGATAACCATACAGAGGACCTTGCCTGCTCGCTTGGGACAATTTGGCAACTGTGCTGATTGCTTGCACACTTTAACTACTACCAAGATGTACAAAGCAAGAGTGGCTACTAAATAGGTACTGTTGGTAACAAAATTAATCCAAAAAATGATGTCTTTAAAGACAGTCTCTGGCAAGAATATCGGAATCACACCAACAATAATTGTTGGCACCCAGACTCCTGCTGATATCTTTGCTGCTCGAGACTCAGAGGCTTTTTCCTTGTACTTGAATCCCAGGACATACCGTTATTTTGTTTTACCGTTTTGGATTTCCTCAAAAACAAAAACCGTGAACGAACTATTGACCGTTTTGTCATTTTACAGTTTTGTAAAACGGTCAAACGGTATTAAGTCACACACAAAAAATACTTTTTGTTGTTGTTTTTTATTGTAGAAAGCGTTAAACGGCTAGTTGCTTTATTTTTAGAGTGTTGTTTTACAAAATCATGACAATGACAAAACGGTCAATAGTCTTGCCGACCATTTTTTTTATTTAGGTTCGGCAATTAAGCAATGCACCTAGCAATGTTAATGCGTCCTAGGGATCGAGTCATTGCCTGGGCCCTCCTTACATTTTCGTTCTCACGACAGAATTTGCGAATTAGCTATTGAAGAGCCGCGTCGACTTAAACTCCAATTTCCTTCAAAATATCTGCAAATTCATCAAACGTCTTACCATCCTGTATCCATTGTGAAAAGTAATGCCCTCCCTTGCAGTTTTCCAGCGCCATTTTCGCTTGCAACTATTTAAGCCCCACCAACTGAATCGCATGAGAAGGGGGTCAGGGTCTTCGCCAGGAATCACACCACGCATTAATTATGCCGAGCCAACACTCATGTAAAGCAGGGTCCCCCTCCACCCCCTTGCCCACCGCCACAAAATGCACCACGGACTGTTAACTATGACACTACAATTAAAAAAACAGCGTGTATTCAAAACTGACCGTTTTGCTGTTTTTCTAAGTTATTTGTGTAAAACTGTAAAACAAAAATAATCGATTGTGATAAAGTTCTCAAGGTGCTTTTCAACTTCATCATTCTCCATATCCAACATTTTATTCAGATGTAACAGCGAATATAAGACCTGGAGCAATGTGTAGTTGAAACAAAAAGCTTCTGCATTTTTTCCCCTTAGTGTTTTTTTATCTCTAAGATTTGTAAGGATTAGTTCTTTGTTCCTTGTTTTGAATGCATACTAAACCAAAGTAGACAATAGAGTTTCACAGTTGACTTTGGCACAGATGTGCTTCAGAATAACTTTTTATTTTCTCTTCAAGACTTTTTTTACATGTATATTGTGTAATCCGTCGTAAAGGTTTTGCTCATATCTAGGTTACTTTAATAAGAAAAAGTGAAATGGCACTCTGCACTTTTTACAGAGTTTTACAGCTTATAAAAGATCACAGACATAAAGTAACCCTTGCATTATCTATAACTGAATAAAATTAGATGCAGATCAAAAAATGACACAAAATCTTTCAGGTCGTAATTTTGCTTACAACATATTTATTTATATCTCACATATAGAAACTTGACACAAGCTTTAGATTTGGTGTTTGGATAATCAAGAAAGACATTTAAAATACAGATACAAATAGTCACTGCATCAACAAAGATTTGAAACCATGGAATTCCTACACTCTCTTGCTTGAAATTGAAAGTGTACTTAGACTTCTGCTATCAAATGTTGTACTAAGAAATTACCCATGAACTTTTCTTTTTGTTCTTGGCCCAAACTGATGACCAGCTTTGCCAACAGATTGGCTCCCGTCCGTACATTATTGATACTGATTGTGGGGGGGGGGGGGGGGGACCAGCCTATCCAGCAAGAACAGAAATAATGTTTGGCAGCCAATAATTTGGAATTGTAAAGTAATAATTCAGTAACTGAACGTGAGCTTTTTTGTGTTTGGTGTTTCATTCAAAAGTGAATAACTTTTGTATTGCTTGAAAAATAGCAGATTGGTAAAGAAATCTGTTTTTCGGGATGAAACTCGAAAATAGCACGGAACTTTAAGTAAATTTAGTACCTCATCCGGCATTTGTTGAGTAAAACTGTTATGTGGACAGTTTTCCTTGTTTTTTTTCCTAGAAGGTACAGCATTAATGGTTGCATGTCTGTGTAGAGTGTGTGCGATTCACAGTTTCAGATGATTCTTATTTTATCTGATAAACTGTCTAAGTTGAACACATTACCCTCATTGTTTCAAGCGTAAACTTTAATTTGCAATGCACCACCAGAACTATGAACTGAAGTTATGAGAATGGTAGGAAGATGACAAGTTCCACACACAATCCATTACCCTTTGGAGATACGGTGGACACAATACGAGGGCGCTATTTGGTCTGGGTCTAGTCGTTTGCATAAGTTACCCCAATATACCCAAATCAAATAACACCCTTGTATTGTGTCTGCCATATATCGCAAAAGGCTTATAGCAGTTGAGCTATTCACTTTTTCCAAAATTTGTTAAGACTCTGGAATACTGAATGTGCTTTTCACATCTTTTCCCAATCTACAGGTTAAACAACATGGTGACTCCACTGTGGAACCAGCCGTATGAGGACCAGCTATCCACCAAATAGACCAACACCAGGGAGTTTCTGAGGAATTTATCCAAGATGCTGTAACGGAACATTGGGGAGATGTCTCCCTGTCTGAAGCAACAAAGGTGAGCTACCCGCCAAAGACACGGGATGGTTGTGGGCCAGAATGGAAATGTGATCTTCGTTGACAAAAAACTGTTTCCAGACACAGTTTTCTGGCAAGTGGACTTACCGGTACATGTACAGCTGCCCTGAAATTTCATTAAAAGTCCAGAAAATGATGCCTCATTTTTCTTGAGAATCAATTAAAACTCAGCAAACTTTGGGCCAACTTCTGAAATAAACTTCCTTTCCACACACAAAAGTCCCAAAGATTAAAAGGGGGGGGGGGGAGTTGGTAAAAAAAATGTTTACAAACAAAAAGCCGAAAAATGAACACAAAACCAAAACTTCACAATTCATAAGCTGCTCGAATGAGACTCGCACCAACAATCTCCTGCTTCCTAGTGCAGATGTCTCAACTACTTGACCACCAGGCTTGCTGGGGTTGGCTGGCTGGTCCCAATCTGATAAAGCAGGTGCCACAATCAATGAGTTTAATTGATTGTTTACGTAGGGGAGTTGTGAATGTGAATACCTGGTTTTGACTTTCACCAATGTAAATTTGAATGCACTGTATATTCAGTGCTGTCTGAGAGCTTACGAGCAAAGATTCTGCAAGCTTGCTTGGGTGGGATATGAACCCATGACCTCCTGCTTACTAGTGCAGACATCTTAACCACTCAATAACAGAGCTTGCAAAGGTTAGTGGGCCAGTTTGAATCTTGTGCATATATAGCTTTGGTTACCACAAGAAATTCACAAGCCTGTTGGAGTGGGATTCGAACCCACACCCTCATGTTTAATAGCACACTCTTCATTTGATTGACAGGAAGAACCACAGTGGGATGGAATGTGAGTTGGAGCCAATTAAAGCCATCGGTGAGTTAGCTAGTTGACAAATATTTGTTGATAAAAATATAGATTTTATTTAAATTTATTTGTAGTGTTGTGAATGATTTTATGAATTATAATCTCAATGATAGTTCACATTGGCACATAGTGTTAGGTTAGCTTGACTGGTGTGATCTTTGAACTCAGGTAGATAGATAGAGTCACCTTACTTGTACTAAATTTATATTTCAACCTGGATTTCTTGTTAGATAAACCATACAGCATGTGAATCTTTTGTGGGGTAAATATTCCTGACATTGGAGATGTCTGATTTGTTCCTTTCATTTTCATTGTTTGTTTGCACACTCATAGCCAGTATTACACCGCGTTCCCACTTGAATTGGGAAAAGGTGGATCAAGATCCGGCATTTTGGTGTGATCGTTATCTTACCGCAACGAAACCGCAAGTCGCGTTCCCACTTACGCTTGATCCACCTTTTCGTACGGAAATGTTGGGTCCGAAAGGTCACTGAGTTCGGAATTACGCGCGCTCTGTGGGAGTGCCATTGTTGCATGGTTGCATGCTAGGCCAGGATGGGTCAGTTTTCAAACAGCACTATCAGAATTTACAGACAAAAATTACGCGAATTCACCAACATAAATCACGGATCTGTAGAGGATCCGTGCGTGCATAAATTAACAGGTGAAATCCAACAGAGCCGCTCATTGTGTGACATCACGGCAGAAACCAATGCATTGATAAGGATTACCTGGTTCTGAAGCTTCTCATTGGTTAGAAACGGTCACATGATGTACTACGACATCATTTTCCAATTTTCTATAATCAATACTCCAGATTTGTCACCTCCGTACGTACCGCGTTATCGGCACTATTCTAATCGCATACTCGTAAGCTTTTCCATGATTCTGTGCCAAAGTGAAGTCTTTTGGTGAGTGCGGAACTCAGAGTCATTTATGGATGAAAAATAAGTAAAATTTCAGGAATGAAAAAGGTTTAGTAATGGACGAACACGCAACAAAAATAAGGCCTATAGTGTAGTTTTAGGATACCACGTGCGCTTTTGCATGCGCGGTGCTAGCCCGTAGTTCAGCGGTTGTTTATTGTGCATGTTGTATACGCTGGAAATGTTCACATGAGCTACACGCCTGAAAACGTGTTTCTTCGTTCATGAGACCGCACCATTTTCGCGCCACTCGTGCACCGGGCGGATGTTAACAGGTCAAATTGCCGGATCAGATCCACCTTTTGCGTTCCCATCTGATCCTGATCCAGCAATTGCCGGATCTGATCCACCAATTGGGGGATCTGTATCCTGGTCCAGAGGTGGATCAGAAAAGGTGGATCTGATCCTGATCCACCTTATAACGGTTAGCGTTCCCACTACACACAATTGCCGGATCTGATCCACCAATTGGGGGATCTGATCCGGCAATTTGGCAAAAGATGGATCAGATCCCCCAATTGGTGGATCAAGTGGGAACGGGGTCTCTGAGAGTTATCGCAACAAGTGTGAGTTTACCATCGGCAAGAGTGTAGATGGCATCGGTGATTGAAACTGGCATTTTTTTTTATTTATGCAATCTCTTCATTTTGTGTGTGTATGCTCTCCGTTCACAAGTACCCCCTCGCCTGGATATAAAGTGTGCACACATGTACTCAATGCACCTGTTATGAAAGCTGAACAGAAAGTTCCAGGATTTTTTCTCAGTTATTCCCCTAATTTTTTTGTCAGGTCTTCATGAAACTTGGCCCTGGATAAATTGTGCAATAGTTTCAGTATCATGTCTTCTTATTTTCATTGACAGATAACACTGTTGGTTTCCGGCTTGGCGCTTACAGAGGTAAGTATTTCCTCTGAAGTTCCATTTTGGTAAAAGACGTAGATCAGCTTTCATGTTTGATTGGATCGGCTGTCGAGGGGCGTGGCCTATTGGTAGCTAATGCTGATCAATTCCAACCAATCAGAATGCAACACACAGAAAGATTGACAGGTGTACATATTGTGCATTGTCTATTATGTCTGTCAGGAATTAATTATTGGAAAGAAAGAAACAAGCCACAAAAGACTTAAACCCTTGTCATCCCCTTTGCTGACCAATATGTTGGCTTACTTTTGTGGCATGAACATTGAGGGTATATGTTTGTACTTTCAACATTGATCAGCAAGCTCTTTTACTCATTAGGGATTTTTCAACAATTACATTTGTACAAGCAAGAATTAGGTTTTAAATACAAAATTCAGGAAAATCACTCTTTGTTTAGATGTTGCTAGTGTACACTTTTATTTATGTTATCACTGATCTTGCTTTAGTTTTACACGCAAATTTGTTTGTCCTATAAAAAGTGTGTGACTTTTAGAAACATGGTTTGCCCTGCAATTTTTTTCTTCCAAATATTACTAGGTATCAGAAAGACGTAAGAGCTCAAACACCGATTTGGTGATAGTACATGTCTGTATTATTTGTGTTTAGAGTTTGAAATTACACAAGGAAATAGCAGCTTTAATGCACATATAAAAAGCAGCAATTCCTCGGATACTGTGCAAATTAAGATACATCTTGTATGATGCTAACTTTACAACGACATTCATATTTTACAGCATTGATTTTTCAATTACCCAAATTCGAGGTACCCTTGAGTCCATCTAAAAGAAATGTTAGAATATTGCTTTGCATTTAAACATCATACAGATTATAGACAATTATAGAGCATGCAAGTCTCGCCAGTTCACATTCACTTTTCATGTGAACATCTTGGTACCAAACACTGACTAGTCTAGCCGCAGACTCCCTTGTTTGAATTCACCCAATTCACCCGGTGAACGGAAGTGGAGGTCCACATTTTTTCAATTTACTATAGTAATCAACTTGCAATATTTTTTGAATGTGTTGTAAATCGGAATGATTCTTTTCTTGTTCAGAACCCATTCTTTGCCCTTGACTGGATATACCTAGTAAAATCACCTAGGTTTTTGAGGTCAACTTGCACGCTCTATTGACAGAAGTGGAGTACAAATTGCTGACTTTAGCCCGGTTCATACTTCACACAAAAGCATGTGCCAAGCAAAATTCATGTCGTCAACAATGGTGGACGCCCTTTGAATGTATTGTTGACGTCATGATTTTCGCTTCACTTTCGCTTTCGCGTGAAGTATGAACCGGGCTTTTAACTATCAACTACATTTTTTTCCAGCTAGTAGCTGTGAAGACACCTTTAATACACCAGACTTAAATCCCATACTGTACATCTAAAGCCTACAATGGTCTCATATTATATATCTTTGCTCTGCAGAAAGAAAAGTCTTTACCCTTGATTTCTCCTTGCTAAAGGATTTTTCAAGAAACTTCGAATAAAAAAACAGCACTTTATTTGGTCTTCAAAAAAAGTTATCCACATTGTGCAACATGTATGCACAAAGATTGGTATACATTTGGAATCAGATGCTCCTAATGCATAACTTGCAACTTTGTTGATCTGTTACTTAGGCTGTGTCTGAAACGGGCTTCTAGAGCTATGGCTACGGCTATTGTCAGATTGTTCCCATGTAATTGTTTTGGGTGAAGATCTAGACAATATAGCTCTAGCCATATCAAGTTTTTTTAATCTGTTCATTTGTGCATCAGGTCTTGACCAACAAGATAACCATTCCACCAGCACCTCTGACGTACCGTACCGGTGACTGGTACTGCCACAACGGATCCTTATCACTATCTGACACAACAGCACTTCACCTCAGAGATCTTCAAGATTGAGATCCAAAACCTCCCAAGACATTTTGGACTGGTGGTGAGTTTGCTCCCTAAATATTGAACCCTCAATAACAATAACCATACAGTTTGTGCCATTTTAGGAGTATGTATGTATTGTGCTCCATGCTTGGGATTTGTCAAGGTCTGTTAATAACAGAATCAAAAGGCTGTAAAATGAATTTCACTAAAACATGAAATATCCTAGCCCTGTGTTTGTATGAAAGTAATGACCACATTTTACGCACACTTTTTTGCAATGCCCGTGCACATGTTCACAATTGTTTCTAATGTTGCTGTGATGTCGATTTAGGTATTTTACACTTCACAGCTTTGGAGTTTTCTGTATAATTTATGAACCTAAAATTCATTGCATTGTACATGTTGAAAGGTTTGTACATTTAAGCATCTCACTGGCTGCATGCTATGTGCTAATGAACGCAACAGTCACATCAAACTTGATCAAAACACTTTTGTTACATTTTGTCCCCTCAAACAGCAGTGACACTGAAGTTCCAGCTCATTACATCGCTGTATTGCTCGTGAATACGGAATATTTTAAAGCCTGAAACATCCAAAGACTTGGAATATAGTTCCTAAAATAAAAACCTATTTACAGTGGAAAAAATTCAGGGTTATCCATATGTTAGTACCATTACTTGTATATTTCACACTGAAAAAAGTAACAAACTTGCTCATTAAAAGGAAGGGTAGATCATTTGTCATTTGTGCATTTTTTTCATTTGAAGCATCAAAAGTGCTCAAAATATGAAAACGGGTGCTTAACAATTAACACGATGAAGTTTAACTCTGTGAATGCAGTATCTTCCGAGAAAACTATAGTCAAGGTTCTCGGGTTCAATTCAAAAGTTGCTGAGTCACGTTTTATATTGCGTCCGAATTCAGCCCCAGGGACACATTCTCATTCAGTCAATTGCAGCTACGTGATGTCATGCACTGAACTGACGAATAATAGCAACCTAGTGTGCGTGTGCGGCGTGTCGACGCTTGCGCGCACATATTCATGGATTCACCGAATTTACAAACCAACTACATGAACTAACATGATGCATCGTTGAAAATTGCTTTCTTTCATTGTTTCCTTCAAAACAACAGCATGCCAAAAAGAATGATTTCACAGGGAGTTTAGTGCCATTAAAACCAAAAGCCTTTAACAATAATTTCGTCAGTTACCTTTTGGATAGCTGCAAATGATCTACTCTACCTTAAAATACGAACAAAAGTTTGATTCAAATAATTAAACTATTTGGGATGTGTTAATTTCTGAACCTTTTACATACATACATTGCATGAATACCAGCTGTTCCCTTCACTGATAGTTGGTTGCAATCTGCTCTGGGCAGGCCTGCACATTACTGATGTCATGGTGCGTACATGTATTGGCAATTCGCTGAAGTAAAACACATTTCAACTCCAGCATATTGTGTTGTTAATGTTTCTCAATGTCAAATCTACTTAATTGGCATTCCAATGAAGAAGATGTATGAAACGGCCTTAAATCTGCTCTACACTTTGAACACAGCAAGTTCAAAAGCAGCACTCACTCTACACACTGCTGCCCTTAAAGACAGCTTGCACTTATCAGGTACCAGTGAACATTGTTCTTGACAACTTTCCAAAGATTAAATCCCTTCTGGTTCTGGATGTGCATACTGCTGCCCTTGTGCTGATGGCTCGGTGTCAGTCAGCCCAGGACATTGTTCCTGAGTACTTGCAAGTGACTGCTGGCTCTCTGCTGGTTCTGGATGTTCACACTGTTCCCCTTGCATGGATAGCTTGCAGTCAGTCAGACTAGAGCATTGTTCCTGATGAGAACTTGCAAGCGCTGGGGTCCCTGCTGGTTCTGCATGTACCTCAACATGCACTTGAACATGCTGCTGACTGTGCATGGATGCCTTGCTGCTGCTTGGCCTGGAACATTGTTCTCGACAGCTGTCCAGTGACTGCTGACTCGCTGTGTGTTGTGCATGCCCTTGGCTTGGTGGCTTGCTGCTGCTTGGCCTGGCAGCACGGTGCTCTTGGTCATTTTCTGCCCGCGGAATCACATGAAGCTCAATCTGCTTCCCTGGCTGCGATGATCGGCTGGGATTCTGTCTTGGGCAACAACGACAGCACAGTTTGAGGAATGAGAAAGCCTTGACTACAGCTTCACGAAAGTCAGCGTTTGTGGCACTGTAGACTAGGGAATTAATTGAGCTATTGGTCAGTTTCAAAATTGCAATGCATATAATCAGAATATTTATTGTCTCTCCAAGTTCCAGATTGGCAACATTCTGAGCAGTTGAAGTAAACTTTGATGCCACTACACCTACATGAATTGTCATAATTGTAGCTGCAGTGTACAGTGAGTTCAGAATGAAGAAAACAGCAGTGTTGATGATAACCATGCAGAGAACCTTGCCTGCTCGCTTGGGACGGTTCGGAAACAGGGCTGATTGCTTGCATACTTTCCATACTACATAGATGTACAAAGCAAGAGTTGCTATCAAAGAGACAATGTTGATAATGGAAAGAATCCAAAAGTAGACTTTATCGGAGACAGCTTCTGTTAATGGTACGAAAATCAGAATCACACCAACAATAATTGTTGGCACCCAGAGTCCTGCTGATATCTTTGCTGCTCGAGATTTAGAGGCCTTTTCTTTGAACGTTATAGGATTGCGCACTGCAGAGAATCTCTCAGCTGCTATGGTAACCACAAAGAAATTAGAAGTAGCGATGAACGTGCATTGGCCACTTGATATTGCATTGTTGACCAACAAGTTGTACTCTGTAGGTGAAGACAGTACAAATATGAAGTAATTCATAAGGTAGAGGGAGTCAGCCACAGCCAGATTGGATAAGTAGATGTTGATGATTGTACGCATGGACTTCACTCGAATGACTGTGAAGAGAAAGACAAAGTTTAAGCAGAGGCCGATTGGTGCAATGATTTCAGCACTTAACCATGTTATTTGTTTAGTTCTTTCTCCACTCATGTAAAAGTTCTCACGATGCTTTTCAACTTCAGTTTTCCACCCAGTTGATGGAGTGGAGCTGTTTTGGTAGCCATCACCCATAGTTCATGCACAATGTAGCATTGAGCTCCGTGAGCCACATGTTGTTCAGATGCAGCAAAGAATGTTCTTCTCTATTTCAAGATCACTCCAGATTTATACTTACAGGGATTGTAAGACCTTGAGCAAAGTGGAATTGAAACAGAAAGTTTCTTGTTCTTTTCCTTCTTTTTCCCCAACATTTCTGTCCGATTTTAATGCATGTGACTATCTTGTGGTATCAGTTCCTGTAACCAAAGCAGATGCATGTGAGTCAGTTTCACTACTTGCACTGACATGAAATCTGAGAATTGAATTTGTTTCAGTTTTAATGATTGGCTCCAGATTAAACATGCGTATTGTGTACATGTAATTGTTTTTTTATGCAAGTCGTTCCTTCACAAGGCATAAATGCCACTCAATGTGAAGGCTACCGCACAAGAAGAAAAGACAGAAAAAGAAAGAGGATGATAGAAAATGAAGACAATTAAGTTTAGTGTGTATGAGAGATGCATGTTCACATTGCGTTATACAGGGTGATTAAAATAAAAGTGACCCGCCCTCAAGATTTTTTTTCTTACAAGGAATGCGATAATATTGAAAGCTAAATGAGCTAAGTGAGAATTACAGATTACACACAAGTATTCAAATACAAATGAGATTTTAATAATTGAAATCAAGAGAATTTTTACTATCAAGTTGTGTGTTTTGAATATGAGAAGCAAGTTAACTCTCTTTTTTCTTCGAAATATCGATGGTGATTTTTGTATCTTTCCCTTTGCAAGTTCTCGTTCATTCATGGAGGTGGGAAAACAATTGATGTTTCATTATCCTCATTGGGAGATGTATTATCAGTTCGCAACACGGTAATTGATAAGTGGTGGACAGCCAAGTTTTGTGATCATTTTATTGAAATAGACATGAATTGGGAATAGAGTTTGCAATTTAAGTGAAATTTTCACAGTTAATAGTCAATAAGATGCAGACTTGTATTCGAGTCACGAAACATCGAGTCCAAGTCCGAGTCCGAGTCACATTTCTCGAGTCTAAGTCCGTGTCCCGAGTCCTCCAGGTCAAGTCCGAGTCAGAGAGTCACAAAGGTTGAGTCCAAGTCCGAGTCACGAGTCACCTCTTTGTATAAAAAACGTACATTTTAGGGAATTCAGAGATTCAGAGTCACCTTTGATATAGTATGGAAATACGTACATTTCAGGTGCTGTAAATTTTCATTTTTTCCCACAGCTTTTCTCTAATTTTCTCTGGAAATGAGGAGTTCATTTGCAAAACAGTTATAAAGGCAATTCAGACAAAACTGGTATTGGCCTTAACTTTTGCATTTAAAGTTCAGGCGTTTCAAATATCTTTTTTTAGACTTCTATATACGTGAAAGGTGGCGATTGAAGTTGGACGTAGTGCCGGTTTTCTCCTCTATTTTCTTCCTGCAGAACTTGCATTCTGCACTTGATCTTCCATTGGCATTTCTCTTGAAGTTAAGATATCCAAAATTTACAATTTTTGGAGTGGATGCCATCATGATCTACATACGTTGCAACTTGCATGTAACGTTACCGAAACGGACAGATCAGCAGACTATTCATATCGCGTTATCACGATGCGACAGCAATACACGTGTGAACGAAGGACGTCTGACAAGAAAAGTCTGGTACCTTACCCTATCAGGTAACAGGCCACGGCCACGCACGCACCACATCGAGCGCCCTGTACATGTATTGCACAGTAAAGAAAACGATCAAATTATATATGTGCGCGTGTGCAGTGCGGTAATTTCCGTCGAGTCACAAGTCACTTCAAGTCCAAGTCCGAGTCCGTAGCCCCGAGTCTGAGTCCGAGTCGTAAGTCAAAGTGACTCGAGTCCCAGTCCGAGTCATTTAAAATGTGACTCGAGTCCGAGTCCGAATCACGAGTCATACAAGTCTGATAAGATGTACTTTATTCGTGTTTTTTATTAACATAGAACAAGCCAATTATTTTAAAATTTTTTTCAAATTCGGTCACTTTCTTTTTGACTCATCCTGTAGTTGGTTCAACCGGCACTGGGAATAAACTTGATGAATACATCCTGAAAATGGCTTTGGGGATAATGACAGTATATGGATGTGATTGGACGGAGGAGCAGGTAGTTGGTAGTTGGTTTCAATTTGGTCATGTTACTGATGACGGAAAGTAACATTCACTCAAAACATCTTTAAGCACTAATATTACTTTGTACAAAGGTATATGTAGATGAAGACAACAGCAAAAAAAGAGGAGATTTTTTCTATCAATCCTTGTTGTCTTTTCCCCCAAAATGAATTGTGTTCTTCCCCTGGATGTTGATTTATTTACCCATACAACAATTCTGTACTTCCCTTCTGTTTGATATTCAATTTGATCTGATAAGGAATGAAGTCAAATGGAAGTTTTTATTCACAAATCACAATTGGATTTCTGTTCATCAGTTGCCTTTTTTTCTTTCCTGGGCAAATGTTGGTTGTCATCTGATCAGAGTTTCTTCTTCACTTTCTGGGGTTGTTGTCATTTGAAATCAGTCTCTGCCTTGCCTGACGATCAAGTTGATGTTGTCATATTCTCAGTTTTGTTGATGGAACATCTTTGCAAGACAATTTGCAAGGGCTAACTACTTGGTCTAACTACGTGGTGGCATGGTTTAGTAAAGGTTTGCGGTACCACCATGTACAATGTAGAAGTCTTTTTTGGGAAGATGTGTCATGCCTACATGGTGTTACTGCAAACTGCAAACCTTCACTAGAACACTGTCTTCCACAAATGTGACAATTGGGAAGGGGAAAGTGTGTTTGTCCATTTTTGTTTGGGGGGAATGTATATCCCCAACCCCTTTTCTTCCCCTGACATCCCCCCCCCCCCCCCCCCCCCCCCCCCCCCCCCCCCCGCCCCTGATTCTATGTAAATATTTCAAAGCTAATCATAATTGTATTGATGATATTTCAATGATAGATATAAAGTGTTTGAGGACCTACGTGGATCTGTTTGGGCCTACAACTACGTCCATTCACTGAGCGGATTCGGGATTACCCATCGAGGACTCGAAAAGATAGGAGAGAACAAGGCCAGTTTCTTCGGTAAAATTATCCAGTCAGGTAAGACAAACATCTGTGAAGACTCATTTGCATTGGTCTGCATCTCAATTCTATGTGGATAGTTGTGAAATTCGAAATTGTGAATTAGAAAGTAGGAATCAACTTTATTCGATTTCATCCATATAATTATTGATCTTCTTTTTCATATATGTATTTTTTTTGCCCTTCCCTGAAGTATTTTACAAACACTGTACACATTGAGTTTTGTCCGAGGGTTTGCAAGAAAAAAATCAACAAGCTTACTTCTGGTTGGACACGAACCCCCAACCTTCTGCTTCCTAGTGCAGACACATTAACCACTCGACCACTGAGCTTGCTGTGGCAAGCTGGCCGTTTGGAGTCTGATGAAGCAGCGCTTAACCCAACTTTGTTTGTGTAGGAGGTCATTAGTTTGAGTCCCACCTAAGCCTTCGGACAACACTAAGTGCACAGTGTTTACAAAATATGTCAGCGAAGGGCAAACAAAAATCAAATATAAAAAAGGCTAATTTACATCTCATAATTTTTTTTTTTCCTGCCCAGGTTCCCATCTGAAGTCCATCCAGATGATCCTTAATAAGACAGCAGACGGTACAGGCATCGACTCCAACACCCTAGCCTTACAGATGAAGGGCCATCCTGAGCTGAGGGACAAGCTTCATGTCGTCACCTCATGGGGGCCTTTGCCTGTCTACCCTGGGGTGGTCAACTCAGAATTACCTGGTAGGTACAGTGGACTCTGTGACCAAGTACCAGTGTTGTAGTCGAGTTACCAACGTCGAGTCCGAGTCCGAGTCCAAGTCTCGAGTCACAAGCCTCGAGTCCGAGTCCGAGTCACAAGTCACTTGTTCTTAGTTGTTCACCGAACTAATCGTTTTTTAAAATTATTTTTTAATCCTCCATTCTGTCTTTTAAGTAAATCCCAGTGTATATAGTTGTGTGTGTACATGTTGTTTAGAGCCAAAATGTGTTTTCCTTTTAATTCCCATCCCTAAAAAATCTTCCTCCAACCCTTCCCTCCATGTTTTATCATCCAAACAGTATTCCTCAATGATCCTTTCCCATCCCTACGTTAGGTTTTTACTTTTGATGAAATTACGTGACTCGAGTCGCGAGTCATCGAGTTCGAGGAGTCATGGTCAAGTCCGAGTCATTTTCCAATGTGACTAGAGTCCAACTCAAGTCCGAGTCCTAGACTCGAGTCCTACAACACTGCCCAGTAATCCCTCTTAAGAAAAGGTTTAGGTGGAACTCTTGAACGCATTGTCGCCCAACACCTTGTGCTGATGTTAAGATATTTGATGATCATAGTGCAGTGTTCATATAGCACTCTTATACAACACTCTCAGATTGCTCACACTTATTACCCCTGTTCATCAGGCCATGAGAACACTTTCCTGCTATAAGCTCGAGATCAGCCCTATCTGGTCTGCACCCCCCCCCCCCCACATGTACTCAATGGAGGCAATTGTAGTAATGTATCTTGCCCAAGAACACCAGCACCGTGTCCCCTGTCAAGATTGACTCAACATAACATCGTGCATGAGTCAAACACAGGAACCTTTTGACCACAGGACTCTGCATGCTGAATAAAACTCTAATCAAATAACCAACGTATAAACACCGACGTATAAACACTGTATGAGTGTGTTACCTCCTGAGTGAAAGTTGGAAAAAAACGTTGGCGAGGGGCAAAACCTAACTTGATTTACATAACCCCAACTTAAAATTCCATCTTATGAATAGTTAATGCTATACCTGCTGCTATGTACATCAGATTCGAACCAGCCAACTGATTCCCTTAGCTCGGTGGTTGAGTGGTAAGACATCTGCACTAGAAAGTAGGAGGTCTTGGGTTCGAGTCCCACCCGAGTGATTTTTCCAACTTTCACTCGGGAGGTAACACAACCGTTTATACGTCGGTGAAGGGCAAAACCTAATTTGATTTACATCACCCCGACGCAAAATTCCATCTTATGAATACTGAATAAAATTAGTGATACACATGTACATACTTTGCGTAAAGATATTTGTTGTGTGGAAGAGGAAAGTACCTCAGACAGTCAGACCACCGTTTAAACAGAAGATCTGACCTGACACGTGTACATGAGGACATACAAGGGCCTCATGATTCTGATATTTAGTACGCTTGTAGATATTTAAATAATGTTGAACCCTGCATCATAGGTCGATCTGACAATCTACGCGCTTGCCAGTATCAGACTTTAAACGGCCTGCAAGAACCTGCCGTTTTGAGTCTGCGTTTAGATTAACCACCATTTTGCTTGTCTCATTTTGAATATTCTTCTTTTTTTTTCCTCAGAGGATCTCAAGACATCTATCACCAGGCATCTTCTCAACATGCATCTCGACCCCAAATGGCAAGCTCAACTGAACCAATACATGGTGTCCAAATTTGTGCCGGTTACACTGGATCAGTACAAAGGATTGTTCAAATAAACAAACAAATGTTCCAATAAACCAAAAAGGGAAACCGACGATTAGTGCATTATGAAATATATTGCATTATTATAATATAACAATTGTAACAAAATAACGAGACAGTGTTATATTTTTTTAAAAATAATGATTAATTCATTGTTGAAATCAGTACTCTTAAATTGGAACTTGTCATGATGCAATTTTGTGCTCTAAATTAATAATGCAATATACATATTTTATTATGTAAACATGTTTTTTTATATATTTTACTGAAACCACAGAGACTAGTTGTCAATCTACAAGCTATTGTCACATCTTACTGTGTGCAATGAGTTCGTTAGCAGGGCTCAAATTTTGTGTGAAAATCTTGTGGACAACAGTACCTGAAAGTATTATTCACTGGACCAATGTACATTCACAGATAAAATTGAAACACTGTTAACTCAAAGCCATGTGCATCATTTGCAATGACCTGGAGAAGCATTGATTTAATGACAAAACTCTGCTCAAAGTCAAGATAGGAGTGGTACCAAATACCCTTTGAAAATATTCCAGCTGAAATTGTTTCGTGTGGATGAAAACTGAGGTGGTGTTGAAAGAGGGTGTCCACGGCACATTATGCATTAGCAATGGAATCCAGTTACAAGACACCCCAAAAAAGTGAATGTATTTTCTCGGTTTTCTTAAAACGTATACTATCCAATCAGCCTTCAACAGGTTAGTTGTCATGCACCCTGCTTCAGACTTTTAGCAATTTTGTTGCTTCAAACGAAAGTAAAGGCACAAGAAGCAAATAATCATATGTACCTTTTAAGAAAGTTGCAGTCATTAGGATTATACAAGAAGTGTATTTCATTGCTTCTGATGGTAAATGGAAACATCAAATGTGAACATTTTGAATAGTTGGTCAAATGACTCTTGCATGTGTAGGATTAGTCATGATCATGATAATCTGAGACCAGATTTGGACAGCACATGCAATCATGAAAGGCATGTATTCATCTGAGTGCAATGTGTAATTATAAAACATCAAGATGAATTTGTATTCCCTTTGTTTTAAGTTGCCAAATCTTCCAAAGAATTTATATACAATTTAGAAGTGTTTTTGTCATTTCGTATAACCTTCGAGAGTGAAATACATTTGAACATCAAAACAATGTGTGTTACAGTGAAGTGCAAATTTGCCTTGTTGAGATTATTTATGCAAATACGATAAGGTTTTCTGTCATGGATGTTGGTATGAACGTAGATGATGTGGATATGATTCACCTACTTTAATGTACATGTAGTTGTGTTTGTCATTTATAATACATGTACACCATATAGTTATTAAACTGTGCTGTAAATTTTGGATTTTTGTGACTTGCTTTAAAAATTAACAGTCACTTCTTTCATATTTCAAAAAACTATATTTCCAATGGCAAATTATTAAAGTGGATGCGGTGTTTAAAATGAATCAGACTTTTATATAAATGTTCTAGTTTTCTGGCAACGTGATGTTAGAAATGAACTCTTTTGAACTTTTAATAAAATTGTATTTTCAATGGCAAATTTTATATTAAATACATGTACATGTAGATCTCCAATTTACTTGTTTTAGTCAAATTATTCTGTGTGAAAGATTGACCATTTTTTTCCTCTGGCTTATTTCATTGTGTCACGCTTAATTTCTTGGTTACAGAATCCCAATGTTTTCCAAGTAGATATCATGGCTAATGGAAAGTACTCAAGAAAAATACTCAAAACCCAAATTTAATAAAAGTATCTTCCTTTGCTTGTACATATATTCAATGGGGAGTGCCCAGGGGAGTGCCGATAAAATCCTACAATCGTGCACATTACCTAATAGTGTACAGTACAATTCCAGGGCCCCTGCTCACAACTATTTCTTTTTTTGGGGGGGGGGGGACCGTTCGAATGTGACATCACCTTAATTCTAACATTTGCTACCGTTTTTAATGGGGGGGGGGTTTTTCAAAAGTTTGGGCGCTCCTGCCCCCCCCCCCCCCCCCCCCCCCCCCCCCCCCCCCCCCCCCCCCCCCCCCCCCCCCCCGTTATGGAACTGCACATCTGAGGGTGAGTACCCTCAAATGACTCGGCCCATTTCGGTTCTGTAGGCCACATTTCTTGCGTTTACCACAATTTGGTAAAAAATAATGACTGAGCTGCAGCTCTGCTATTTGCCCAGGATATTATATATATATAAGTAAACACAAAAAAAAATACATAATCTTTACACCGTTCTTAAGGAACTTTGTTCTACTTTTTTCATTTTGAGGTAGCATTTTTGGTATCAGGGGTCAATCTCTCTGGGGGTAATCCTGCCACCAAGTCTATGTTAAAAAGTTTCTACCGGTAACTTTAACAGCGCCCTCTAAACAAATCTTTGAGAGTGGCGTTTTTGAAATTTCGGACTAGCTTCGGACTCGGTGTCGTAATCATTTCCACAACTAATTACATGTCCGATACAGGCATGTCATAACATTTGGGCTGTCAACAACAAGAAATGTTCAAAGCAAAACAAAGACCGATACCAGTATATCCCGAAAGTGACAAAATAACATCGCTGGAAGTCAAAGCTAAATCTTTCAAACGAAACCAATGTTTACGAAAATTCCCAAGGTATGACGTATTGCCCACGTGAGGGCGCATACAGGTGGTGTTGTTTTGTGACACTGACAGGTGCAAAATGAATGATTACAATTCACACGTGGCGGTTTGTTGTCATGTCAGTGCTGCATGCACATGTCACAATGAAAAGACCCTGTACTCAAGCCCGTCTCGCAAGTGTCGTCGCCATGTTGGGTCACTTTCTCCGGATGTTTTCATGGTTGTTTCTCTGCTAATTTGTGAGGTACTTGGTTCAGTGCGTCCGCCGTCAACTCGATTTTCTTAACCCCTGAAAAACTGCAAGAAGTTCATGGCCTGGTCGTGAGTATTTAACAGGGAAAGAATCGTATTACCAAGGTTGCGATCATGGCGATGTGCATTCACAAAGCGCGGGGTTTGCAATCGAATCAACGTACCTTTTCCGTAAACCGTAGATCTAAATTTTCACATAATCCTATTTAAACATTTTGGATTTTGAGCATGTTAAGGAAGTGACAGTTAAGCTAGTGGTTTCTCACGTTCGTCATGTGCATTTTCCCATGTTGAATAACTTGAAGTGTTCAACATATTTAATTGGCCTGATCGAAGATCAATCTGATAATTGACAATTATTATGTACCAAAAACAGGGCTGATGGCTTTCAGGGACTTCATTCATCCTTGCAACATATCTCTCTCTCTGTTATTTTAGTCTCTATTGTATTGGAGTGGTGATGTGAAGTAGTTTTCTACAGGAAATAATTAATGCTGGGTTCCTTTATTTTCAATAGGACCCAAAGAAATATTGATTGTGAAAAGAATGCAAAAGTCATATCCGTCACACCTTTTGTGACGGAAATGACAATTATTATATTACTTGGCTTTTGGAAGTATAATTACCTTTTCAAGTTGTTTACTTTACAAATTATGGCAGTAGGTACATATTGAGAAATACACGGGGACATGCATTTTGAGGGGGTTTTGAGGGAGTATTGTAAAGAATGAGCATCTTGTCCATTATGTTAAAGAGTTTTTAACACTGCACATAATAGGAGTCGTGTGAAGTTAATTTCACTGCTCAAAAATCTAATTTTCATTCTATATTTTTTCGAATTATAGTGCCTTAAAGTGTCGGGACATGAAAGTAGACACTTGATACTGAAGAATGACCCATAGGCCCCTTTTTAATAAAAACTTGCTGGGAGTGTACATGCGGGAAGAAATTCATGATAAACTATCTCCAGCATTTAGGATAGAGATAAACCCACGAATGATTCTAGCGTAAGGTTGATGCATTGGCAGTTGTACTGTTTAACTATGTTCACTATAGGGTGTCAGTGGGTACATTTAATTTTTTGAAAAGAAGCTGAAACAATTAGAAGCAGTAGGTGAAAATTAACAAAAATCCACTTTGAAAAAAGATGTATATCATAAATTTAATTTACATTAATTTACTTGTGCTTTTAACAAATTCAATAAATATATAAAATCTGATATCAAAAAGTATTTTTGTCCTCTGCAGGCTGAGTGTAAACATTAAACTGAAATCCACAGGCAAAAGGGGAACTATGTATTGGTGGAGTGAGGAAATTATGGATGTGACATTTACACATTTAAAAATAAACAAAATTCTAAATCGTATTTTTCCAAAAGTTTTAACAAAACTCAAATTTTAAAAACAGGAACCTATTTTCCGCTATCTTCCTTTGAGTTGAGCATGCATAACAAAAATAATCCAAACCTATTCAATTTGCTAAAAGCTAAGGAGAACTGCAGTACTAGATTACTTTCAGGCTACGTGCTCATCTTTTTATTGTTTTCAATGACAGCCCTCTTTTTATTATGTTACTCATTTATTATTTGTTGTGTCGATCATGTTGGTCTGCACAATGGGCAGTCGTCAGTCTTTGTGAAAGGGCTCAACATTGAGATGGTTCTTTAAATGTTTGCTAAACATTTACAAAATGAAACGTCACATCCTTAGAAGACATTGGAGGAGGAGGTCTAAGAAATTGGAGGAGGAAGGCAATTGGAGGTCTGTGGATGTTTGAGCTACTACGTACATGTAGAGGGTAACAGATGTCTCTGATGGTGATGCTGAAGTTTTGCAGAGCTATCGTCTGTTTGCTGACCTTCATTGCTAGACGGACAGAGCATGGATGTAGCTGCTTGATACTCATGATGATGGTGTCCCTTTTGGTGAGTGCTGGGTGTTCACTGATTTCCTGTAATTCTCCCCATCTGCCATGTGCTCTGTGTTTGTGCTGTCTGGCGTTGAGTTCTCTTGCTGGTGTACCCAGTGTACACCTTCTGCATTCGCAGGGGATGCATCAGGTTCGGTCTTGGAGGCTTGCTTGTCCTGTGGGCTATTGTGGATCTTGTGGGTGTGGAAAGCCCGGATACCTTTGTCATTTAGGAAGTACTGGATGTGATGAGAACTGCCTGTGTTGGGCTGTGTAATAGGCGGGGTGAGCCTAGTGGGTTCGACCTTGGGTGTAGGGGACCCTTTGGTAGGTGAAAGACTTTGGATCTTGCGTCTTGACTG